TTTATTTTAAACATTTGCTTTTAAAGGCAGGGCTAAATAGAAAACTTGATTGTACCCATTGTGATTAAAAAAATCCAAAATTAATTGTTCTAATTGTTATGGATATCACTGTAAGTAATATTGATTAGCAATGCTAACATCATGTGTGTGAGGTCTTTAGGCAATAATTTGAATATTTTACAAAATCCTCTGGCATATTTTATACGTTAGCCTCTTTTGGTACCCTTAATTATTTAAGTAAAAACATCAATGTTCTACTCTGGTATCATTCTATATTAATTCTATCTCAACTGAAGCATATGTAGTATTTATAATTCCCCACTAAGTGAGAAAGGTTGCTAAAGACAAAAGCCATCAACACCTACCTTCCGTAACCAGAACGCCCTGCATACTTCAGTTGGAGAGACTTGTTTACTTTGATAAGAAAGAAGAAGTATCTGTGATCTTCACAGAGTGCCCTGTGAAGCCTCAGAGTGCGGCAAGGTCAAGAAGGAGGATTTCTAATCAATGTGTCACTGAAAGTTTGAACAGGAAATTCTTACCCCTGGGCTATTCTGAAATCACTTTGTCTCATCACACACCTCCAACATATAGGCGACATTGGTCACCTGGTGTCATTTAGTTTGTCCATTTTCCAGTGCCTCCAGAAATTATTTTCCTGTTTGCTAAGGTAGTAGAGAACAGAAGCTTGACTACCTGTGCAGTTAACTGTTTCCCTCTCAATCACAAACATTAAAATGTTAGGCCTTCTTAGCAGGATCTTAAATGTTTAAGCTCTACACTTAGACAAGGGAAAAAAATACATTTAGATAAGGTTGTTAAAACTTGGCATTGCATACTTCTCTTCCTTGTATTCTTATTAATATAATCATATTATGATGGAAAACATTCTAAAATCATAAACACATTATGAGTCGGAATTTAATTGAATGTATTTAATAGTAAGTATTCCAAGGAATTGCAGCATTCTCAACTTTATTGTAAGTGATGTCAATTTCCAAACTTCAGTTCCCAAACTTTTCATCTTGATTCTTTGGCAAAGTTCTTTTTTTTCCTCTTAATTTTTGCCATAACTAAACTAGCTATTCAGGATATTCTCAGACCCATCCTCCGTAATGATCACCACAATGCTCTAGTATTCAATATTGAAAACTGCCAAAGGAGTGTTAAAATCTTCAACTATTGGTGCTGAAAGATATCAAATTCTTCATGTATATTAGGGTCTCCCTTATGAATTGAGGGGCATTCTGGTTGGGTGCATCAATGTTAATAATTGAGATCTCATCATGTTGAGTGTTTCCCTCAACAAATATGAAGTGACCATCCTTGTGTTTCTTTACTTTTGTTGGTTTAAAGCCTAATGTATCTGCAAATAAAATTGCAACCCCTGCTTTTTTCTGATTTCTGTTTGCCTGCATTACAGATGTCCATCCCTTCACCGTGAGTCTATATTTATCCTTTAAGGTAAGATGAGATTCCTGTATACAACAGATATCTGGCCTGAGTTTTTCTATCCAGTCAGCCAACCTATGCCTCTTTAGCAGACAATTTAAGCCATTCGTGTTAATTGAGAATATTGATAAGCCTGGTGGTATTTTGGGTGTCAAGTTTTTTTAAAGTCCAGAGGACATTTTAAATCCTTTCACCACTATGGAAGTTGGTTTTTGATCAATAATTTCAGAGTGAGTTTACTTTGGTGCTAGAGCATTGTGGTGATCATTACGGAGGATGGGTCTGAGAATATCCTGAATAGCTAGTTTAGTTATGGCAAATTTCTTCAATGTGTGTATGTCATTAAAGTATTTGACTTCTCCGTCATAAATGAAATTCAATTTAGCTGGATACAGGATCCTCGGCTGAAAGTTGTTTTGTTTTAGGAGATTGAAGGTTGATGACCATCCTCTTCTGGCTTGAAAAGTTTCAGCAGAGATATCT